ATCGAAGTAAGCATTAAGGACAAGATCTATTAACAAAATATAATAACAAACGTTTTATTAATTATTCAATAGTTTGTATAGGAGTGATTGAAGTAAGCATCAAGGACAATATCTATGAACAAAATGTAATAACAAGCGTTTATTAATTATTCAATAGTTTATATAAGATCTATGAGCAAAATATTCTAATGAACGTTTTATCAATTTGTGTAGGAGTAATCGAAGTGATTTAAGGACAAGATCTATGAACAAAATATTCTAACGAACGTTTTATTGATTATTCAATAGTCTGTATAGGAGTGATTGAAGTAAGCGTTAATGGCAAGATCTATGAATATACTAACAAGTGTTTCATCAATAGTTTGTATAAGAGTGATTGAAGTAAGCATTAAGGACAAGATCTATGAAGCTTGCGAAGCAAGTTTTACAAAAATGAACGTTTTGCAATTATTCAATAGTTATTTGTATATAAATTTCTTTTATTTTAACTTATATTTAATGACATCACTATGACAAATAATTAAATGAATAAAGTCGGAGATAAAACACCTTTTAATTTAATCATTATTGTTGCTTGTTTACTATTATAATTATTATTTATGTATATACTGTAGGTAAAGAAAAACTTTAATGTCTATTTATTTATTATATTACTTTTAAAATAAATGATTTTACTATAAAAGACATACCTAAGTGATCAAAAATCTACAAATATTCATCATAATGTAATATTTGGACATTTACTTCTACTTATACTTGCGATTGGACGCGTCAAACAAAATTTTACATATATGAATATAAAGGCAAAATTTGACTTTGAGAGTCAGATTATTTTCGGTTTTATTAACAACCTGCTTTAAAAATTTTCTTAAAGCAGATACATATGATAAAGAAGTTATATATCAAATTTGGCGGTGGCTGCTACACAGCAAGGGTATTAAATGGGGATTAGAAGTCACTTGATTGTAAAATTTTACTATGTAAATTCGAATTTTACTATGATGCAGATCACCAAAAATTTACTATGTTTTACAACTCCCTATTGATCTGCATGACATGTCCTGTGACTGATACTAATACTAATACTGAAAAGGTACTTTTTGATTCCGTCTATAAGGTACGGAATAAGGTACGAAATTTGCAACATACTGAAAAGGTATGTTTTGATCCCACATATAAGGTACGGAATAGGTACATATAAGTACTCCCGCCTATATTATTGAATGATTGATAAAACATTCGTTTTGCAAACTTCATAGATCTTGACTAACACTTACTTCACCTATATAATTATTGAATAATTGATAAATATTCGTTTTGCAAGTTTTGTAGATCTTGACTACTTTAATACTTACTTTGATCAAACCCGCCTATATAATTATTGAATAATTGATAAACATTCGTTTTGCAAGCTTCATAGATCTTGACTAACACTTCCTTCGCCTATATAATTATTAAATAGTTGATAAATTTTTTTTTACTCAAAGTTCCTTTTATATACTTAATATGTGGTATGGCTTAGATATTCGGTGAGAGATTTCTAGGAGTCAGCAAAAGTGGAAAACAGCTATTTTAACTTTCTTCGAAATAGACATTTATTATTATTATGCATAACATTGATAGCATTTATTTTACTCGAAATTTCTTTCATATATTTAATGTGTAGTATGGTTTAGATAATCTGATTAGCTTTCTAGGAAATTCGATGGCTTATTACATTATACACTGTATCAAGATTATTTTTCATACTTGATCGGATGATAAACTTGGAGTTGGTGAATAAATATGTGGCGAAGATTGTATTTTTTATTATACATTTCGGAATGGGATTTGTTTATATCCAAAAACCAGATATTGAGTTATGGTAATAATTTCAGTTAATTTGGTACGTTTTTCTCATGATACGGAAAAATTGCGAATTTCCGTATAACTATATATCAGATATACGTAATTTCAGTTAATTTGATATGTTTTTTTTTATGATAAGGAAAATTGCGAATTTCCGTATACTTTATAAATAATTCATTCCATAACAATAAAAATTATAATTAATACGTATGCAAATTTCTATTACTATAGTAAATAGTATTAGTATAAAATTCACGGAACGTGCAAGCACTAACCAATTTTTGGAATTTAGCGGCAGATTTTTGCAAATAGTTACCAAATTTGGTTACATTCGCATATTGCACTTTCTTTGATTAAATTTCACGCACGTGAATTTAAAAATTTCAAAATTTACAGCACAAGGTAGGTCAACCGACTTCAATTATGGCAAAGAAAAAATTATTTTGGAATTTACACACTATTTAGATTCGAGATTTAATATTTATTTATTATTTTTTCAAAATATAAAAAAATTTTTGAAATTAAACTAATTATTAAAAAAAAAAACAATATTTTGTTTATTTATTGATTTCACGTTGTGTGTCTCCCTTGTTCTTTTTTACATTTCCTTCTGCCTTCATTTTATCGTCGTTGACGACGTTGCCAGCTGTTTCTTTGACTGTACCAGTGACTTTATCTGTGGTACCTGGAATAAATTAAAATTAAAAAATTTTAAAATCGATCGATTATAAAAAAAGCAACAATTATGTGACAAATTAAATATATATTTACCTTCTACATAACCTTGATTTTTGGCTCCTTCATATTCACTTTGGCCTTCTAATTTTTTAGATTCGCCTTCAACTTTCATTTTATCGCTACCGACCAATTTTCCAAGGTTCTCTTCAGCAGCACCGGCATAATATTTGGCGGTGGAACCAGTCTTGGTTTGTTCGGTGTTGTTATCATTATTGGTACTCATGTTTAATTATTTATTATTAAAAGTGAAGTGTTTAATTGAATTTATTAAAATTTTGTATTGATATTTTTTTTTTTTTTTGATTTGAATTGAATATTGAATTCGAGTTGATGAAAAAAACAATTCATTTTTTCCCTGTGTATTTATAGGAAAATTTTTACATTCGATTTAAAAAAAATTACATCATTATTTAGTCATTACTTCACAATTTTTTAATATTTCAAAGCTTATTTGATTATATAAACGATTATCTCGTGAAAATAATTTTGTTACATCATTTCACCGTCATCATTAAGTAAAAATTATGATCGACGATGGGAGTGATGAAATTTTCATGCGAAGGGACGCATGGGTTGATAATTAAGTAATGACGGATCAGAAAATTTTAACGCCTCTTCAAAACAATCGAATGTAACCTTATGTAGCCATTAATAAATATTTTAAATGGTTAGTAAATATTAAATATATATTTTCCATAATAGATTATTAATAAATTACCACGTCGTTGTTAATATTTTTTCTAAGACAAATTAATGCTGCTTCACGGCATAAATTATCCAGATCTGCGCCTATAATAAAGTAAATTTTTTTGAATAACAAAAAGGCAATTTAATAAATGATAAATTTAGTAATAGCATATCGATCACAGAAATTTTGCAGGGTAAAATAAAATGTTCGTTATAACGAAATTTATTTATGTTCATACAACGATGTTCATTCGACTTTAACAAACATTTACTGTTATTACCCGAAAACCCCTCAGTTACTTGTGACATTGTTTCAATTTGTTCTTTTGTTAAATTAGTTGACATTTTATAAATTTTATTTGATAATATTGAATAACGTTGCTATATATATGTTTATTAAATACATGTATATATATATATATATGATTAATATCATAATGGAATTTAAAATTTAAAATTTCACACAGTTATAATTAAATAGAACCTTGTTATTGGGAGGCGGAATATAAATATGTTGATCTAATCTCCCAGGTCTTAAAATAGCCAAATCTAAAACTTCAGGTCGATTTGTAGCTTTTTTAAGGAAGAAAGGACGAGATGAAAAAGATCTAAAATTAAATAGTCAACAATGGGGTGGTTTTTTTTCATTACCTGCAATTACTAATACTTTGTACTTGTCTTCAGCTTTATTAGTGAAAAATCCATCCATTTCTAAATAGGAAAAGCAAATAATAAATAAATAGGTTTTTTCCTGGTTAAAATAAACAAACATATAAATATTTTTTTTTGTTTACCTGTTAAAAAACTTGTCACAATCCTTTCGGATGTATTTTCAGTGGTAAAATTTATTCCACGGGATTGTGCCAATATATCAAACTAAAAAAATCAATAATAAAATTATTTATTTATTTATTAATTCTCTAAAATAAAAAAGAATTTTTTAAAATAAGAATATTATTGTTATTACTTGATCAATAAATAGAATGCAAGGTGAATTGGATTTTGCATATGAAAATATTTTTGAAATATTTTTTTCAGATTCGCCAACTAATTTAGATATTATTTGTGAACTCTAACCAATATATATGTATATAATTATAGAATTTTATGAGCAAAAGAAAAATCAAGATTAATGAAAAAAAACTGATTTGTAAATTTATTACCTCTATTAATATAAAATTTATTTCAATTTCAGATGCTATCGCGCAACATAACATAGTTTTGCCTACTCCAGGTGGACCATAAATTAAAACCCCATTTGGTGCTGAAATACCAAAATCAAAGAATTCATTATTAGGATCATTAAATGGTTCTATAATTGATAACTAAATACAGTAATAATAAGTTTATCATTATTGAATTAGTTTAGTCAAAAAAAGTAAAGTGATAAAAAATAACTTGCTTTTATTTCTTCTATAATATCATCTATTCCAAAAATATCAGCAAATTTAACATCCAAAATCTTATAAAAATAAATATAATGAGTACTGTCATTATTATTATAACGCTCGTTATTTGTATTTACCTTTGTCTGGAATTCATTCAAATTTGAAGGTTTGACTATATTTAAGGATTCATAAAAATCATTCAAATCGACTGAAAATTTTGCACCTGAAAGAATCTTTAAAAACAATAATTATTATTTGATAAGTATAAATATAATACATATATTAATAATATTAGAAATACTAACAGATTTCATTAAAACTTGTTTACACAAATATTGTAAATCTGTTGCAACAAACCCATGGGTAGTTTTACTAATTTTTTCTAAAATTAAATTTTTTTTTCCTTTTTCAAATGGAATTTCTGATGAATGCAATTTTTTATTAATAAATTATTCCATTTTACGTTTTCCGCGCGATTTTTTTTTGTATTTATAAAAATAATACTCACTTTTTGTAATTATTTCCAATATTTTATATCTTTGATGAGATGTTTTTATATTTAACTCATAAATACGATCTAATCGACCAGAACGGTAAATTTTATTACTAACGGCATGAAATCTATTTGTTGTGCCTAATAAAATCAATAAAAACATTAATTATTATTGCTGCTATTATCATGAAAAACATCCAGCTTCTTTACCACAGCCATTACTAACCTATCACAAATATCTGTCCTTTTTTTTCAAGTCCATCACAATAATTATCTTCATTAATTGAATCAATAATTTTTATAAGAGCTGAAAATAATTTCATTTCAACACCTGTTTTTTTTTTAAACAAATTAATAAAACTATAAATAATCCTTGGAGGAATTCAAAAAATAAATAATATTATTAATCACCTGAATTGACAATAGCAGAGTTATCAGATATTATATCTATTTCATCCATTATAATAATAGAAACTGGATTTATCGTCATCATTGATTCAAACATTGTACATAACCTATTTTCTACTATGCCTTCGTCTTTTTTTTTTAATTAAGACAAATTTCAATTAAATAGATAAATTAATTTATAGAATGAATATGTAATTGACAATAAAAATATCTATTATATAACCAACCAGTTAGTTACCAGATTTAAATATTTCAGGACAATTAATTATCAGATATGGCAATCTAGAAGTTTCTTTTTTTTTAAAAAAAATAAGAATTTTAAAAATAAAACCAATTGATTAATTCTGAAAAAAACATTTCCTACCCGCAATACGTAAGGCTAAGGATGTTTTTCCTGTGCCAGGTTTTCCTATTAACAAAATTCCTTTACTCCTCTTGAAAACTTTTTTTTTTGAACCCTGATTGTTAGCACTGATTGCAGTAATCACAAATGTATATAATTGATCGATAATGCTTGTAACCACATCATCTAAGCTGCCAATTTCATTAACAATATCTTTGACCCATTTTGATTTAT